GCTTCAATCCACAGATCTATGGTCCCAGAACCTTGTCACTTTTCCAGCCTTGCAATGTGTGGACCACATCTGTCAAGTCTGTGCAGGCCAGTTGCTGAGTCCACCCGAGGTGTCCTTGCCTTCTGACGTAGGAGATTTTGCAGGCCTGTTCAGTGAACAAGAAGCATACCAATTGCCACTGCACCACCCATATGATTGCCCCAGCGATTTGATTCCGGATGTGCCATTCCCCGTGGGTCGTTTGTATTCAATGTCAGATCCGGAGTTGGCCGCATTGCAGGACTTTTTGGACAAAAACCTAGCTTGGAGTTTTATCCGACCCTCATCTTTGCCACTGTCTGCACTGGTCTTGTTCGTCAAAAAGAATACTGGGGATTTGAAACTATGTTGTGACTACTGTAAACCTAATTCTATCATGGTGCGCAATCAATATCCTCTGCCCCTTATTCCTGAATTGTTGGAGTGGCTCAGAGAGGCTACAGTTTTCACACAATTGGATCTGCTTGGAGCTTATAATTCATTCATCCCCTCCATCTCCATTCATCCCCATCCGGATCCGGCCCGGGGATGAATGGAAGACAGCATTCAGCACCAGGTATGGGCATTTTGAGTATATGTTCATGCCTTTTCGGCTGACCAATGCCCCTGCCGTCTTCCAACATTTTATGAACGACATCTTCTGGAACCTTTTGGACCAGTTTGTCATTATTTATCTAGATGACATTCTAATTTACTTGTCCTCCCGGGAGAGTCATTGGCAGCACCTACGCTTGGTCCTACAATGGCTCCATGAGAATTGCTTGTATGAGAAACTGGAGAAGTGCCAGTTTTGGCAGTCCACCATTGAGTCCCTGGGGCATCGTATCTCTCCTGAATGCATTGTGATGGAGTTGGGCAAGGTTGAGTCTTTGCGTAGTTGGCAACCTCCTTGGCAAGTGAAGGATGTCCAGTGACTCCTCAGGTTTGCCAACTATTATCAGACCTTTATCCCCGGCTTTGCTTTCCTGACTGCACCCCTTACTTGGTTCCTTCAGAAGAAAGTTCTGTTCACTGGAGTGCCCCTGAGCAACAAGCGTTCCAGGCCTTGATGCAGGCCTTCATGAAAGAGCCCATCTTACAGCATCCTGACCCCCACTGTCTGTTTGTAGTAGAGCCGGATGCATCAGATATTGCTGTTGGAGCGGTATTACTTCAGGCTCACACCTCCGGTGGTACCCTCTTCCCTTGTGCTTATTATTCGCGGAAACTCAATTCTTCCAAGCACAATTATACCATTTGGGAGAAGAAGTTACTAGTCATTAAGGTGGTGTTTGAGGCCTGGAGGCATCATTTAGAGGGGGCCAGACATCAAATTGAAGTCTTGGCAGACCATAGAAATTTGGAATTTTTGAAGACTGCACAAAAATTGAATCAGCACCAGATTCAGTGGTCCCTCTTCTTTGCATGGTTCAATTTCTGCGTGACATACATCCCCAGTGTGCGCAACCAAAGGGCAGACGCATTCTCACAGAAACCCGAATATTCTTGTACCAAAGACCAGATTCCACCCTGGATAGTTTTGCCCATAGAGTCCTTCTCCGCAGTTCAGGAGCCTGTGGACTTATGGTCTCAGATACAGGAAGCACAGCAGCATGACGATTGGGTGGAACAACGGAAGGCAGAGATGGGGCCTGCTTCCCCATGGACATTCACCAATGAACTCTTGAGGTACCG